TAGTAAGATATTAATTAATAAATTTTTTTGAAGAGATTAGTTAATAAGAATTGAAGTGAATAAGATATTAGTTAATAAGATTTTCTCTTTGGGGGGGTTAGTCACATTGAACTTTTTAAGTAAAACTGGGATAATTGCTAAAGTGAGATAATTTTTTGACACTGGGATAATTTAGTGGAACAATGATGGATAATTCTTGAAGTGGGATAATTTGATAGGATAATTTAGTGGGATAATGGTGGATAATTTTATGAAGTGTGATAATTTGGTAGGATAATTTGGTAGAGTAATGGTGGGTATAAATTATTATTGTTAATAATTGTATATTAAAATAAATATAAGATTGATAAGCAATTGATTAGTCTAGTAATAACTATAAAATATAATGTAATAAAACATCACTATTCATCTCAAATAATAAAATATTTTACAACTAAATAAAAATCTAAATCCCTAGAGTGACTCGACTTCCATCATCCCACATGGCCTCTGCCATAGAATTTCTCCAAGCTCCTGCAGCTGCTCGTTGAGTCTGTTGAGTCTGTAACTCATCTTCTTCATCGGAGTCATCATCCGCATCAGCAATATTTCGTGGAGCTTCTAGTGGAAGATCATAAATGTCGAAGTCATCATTTGTATTCTCCAATCTTAAAAAGTTATGCAATCCGACGCATGCAACGAACATCTTTATTTGTGTGGCATATGAAAAACCTGGAGGTTGGCTCTTGAAAATAGTGAACCTTGACTTAAAAACTCCAAAGATGCGCTCGACACAATTTCTAAGAGACGCATGCCGATGATTGAAAACTTCTTTTGAATTTCGTGGTCGTTGTCGATTATTAGCTGGGCCGAACTCTGAAAGATGGTACCTTTGACCTCGGTATGGAGCAAGAAATTGTAGCCTATTTGGATAGCCGCAGTCAACTAGATAAAATTTATCTGCAAACAAGAATAAAAATAAGAATGAGAAAAAAATATTATAAAACTAAAAAATATTCTTTAATTGATAGAAAAAATATTATAAAAAAGATTATTACTCTGTGGAAGTGGAAGTCCATAAGGTCTACTCATTGCATCCTTCAAGACTCTTGCATCATTAGCAGAACCCTCCCACCCAGCTAAGACATAAATGAATTTGAGATCAAATGTGCAAGCTGCCAAGACGTTCTGAGAGAGAAAACCATGTCTATTTCGATAGGGCGTCTGATCTATGTTATACACCATGCACGGTATATGAGTCCCATCTATTGCACCGATACAGTCCTGAATAATCAATGTGTCAGACGATCTCAAGTGATGTGTGTGTGGCGCGCATGCATGTGTGTCTGCGTGTGTGTAAAATCTAAAGCAATAAGAATTACCTTGAAATAAGGCCAAAAGCGAGATTCTGATTTAACCTTATCAGGTGGATCAGTAGGGGGTGATGCCATCAAGCATGATGCTAAAGTTACCAAGGCCTGTAATGCTTTATTGAAACATACACTGATGGTCCATTTTGAACGATCAAATCGATCAGTTGCAACAGAGTATCGTTGATTCTGACTAACCGTGAGAAGAAAAATAGCAATCATCTCCTCAACACTAATGTGGTATGTGTCTTGTATGTGGCCCCGCACTCTTAAGATATTGCATAACTTCATGAAGCAATCTGGGTACATGCGATAAATTCTACGAAAATCTTGTGGATGATTATCCATCTTAGACTGTAAGTATGTGAGACCAAGATCTGTAATACCACGTCGAGGACTTCGAAAATTAAGCGTATTTGCTATGAACTCCTGTGATAAAAGTGCTGATATCTTTGTGATCAGATCTGCAGCCTCAGCAGCTAATTCGATTATGCGAATCAAAAGATTATCATCGAAGTCTTCATGATGAAAATATAAAATGGGCAAATTTTGATCTTCCTCCATCCTATTAATAATATAACCAATGAAATATAATCACTTTACTTGAAACTTATGTGCATAGGAAATAAATAAAGCACTCTATTAGTAGCACACAATGGGACCGATCACAAAGTAGAAATCAATTAAGAAATATTGACCTATATGCTAATCGTTAATCACTAAACTATTGAAAAATAGAAGAAAACATAAAATTGCACTACTCTCATCTACACAACATACAAGAATCATTTGTTGGGATGATACATATAGAAATTTTATCCATTAAATGCACCAAACTAAGATAGCTGACAAGTCAAATAACATAAGAACATAATATAAACAAAAAAAAACAAAAGCATAGCAACATCCTAAAAATAAATAGTTTTGACAAATTGAAATAAAATTGATCCTAAAAGTACTTTCCAAATCTTTAAAAAAACATGACATTATCCCAAGTTCCACCTATTCAATGAAAAATAGTTTGACAATATGAAATTCCTCATAATCCTAACACCATAACAAATCTTAAAAAACATAGAAAGATCCTAAACTTATAAATTATTGCCTCTAAACATCTTCAAAGAAATCAGAATCATAATGTTCACCATTTGGATCAGAATTGGCTTGAGTCCCATCATTACCATCATTCATTATCTCACCAGTCAACCTAAAATGTAGAAACTCATAGCGGTCTTTTGCATCCATGTCAATAAATGCATCCTTCATGTCCTGTGAGATATTGTCACTGAGGATATTCCATTTTTGTGGCTTAGTCAATTCAGAAGTAGACATAACAGCATCAACCCATTCTTTATTCCGACCTTTTCTTATCTTCCTCAACTCATCAACTAACTCATGAAAAGCTTTACCTACAGTGACAACTCCATCTCCTACCTCTTGCAACGATAACTGGGAAGATGTAGAGGATGTGCCTGTAGTACCAATTGACCTACGCCTTCGTTTACCATTATTCAGAGTGGATGGTACAAAACCAAATAATGGCACATTATCAGGATCTCAACAGGTGCAATCTTTCTCTTCCATTACTTTATCTTGTTCATTACATGATTATACCTAAAATCATTTCCATGACATAAACCAACCTCTAAAATGCCATTCCACACTTCGTCGGGACAAGTAAATTTCTGTGTGCTAGGGTCCCAACCAAAACCAGAGTTATTTTTCATCAGGATCTCAACAGGTGCAATCTTTCTCTTCCATTGCTTTATCTTGTTCATTACATGATTATATCTAAAATCTTTTCCAAAATTTTCAACCAGAGGGGGTATCACATTCCTCATAATCACATGCTTTTTAAAACTGCCATTTGCTTGTTTATTTCCATTCTTAACTTCCTCTACTAACAGTCTAAGCAATTCATTAGCCTCTGCTTCAGTCCATATCATATAATCCATCCTTGCTTTTTTCTGTCCCTCACTTTCTTGACCTCGAAATATTTCTTCTTGATTTTGACTCTGTGATCTTATGTCCATCCTATAACAAATTCAAAAATAACTTTTCATAATCTCAAATATGGAATTGGATTAAAATATAAATGCATCTAATATAAAAAGAACAAGCACATATATAATAATAATGTGAACACAGATGAAGATTTTCGGGTTATTAGGCTTCAGCTCCTACAATATAGAGACAAGCTAGAAACATTTGTGGGGATAAATATGGGAATGTGTGTAATTTTTCTTCAAGCTACAGGTGGATTATAGAACCATGGATTATAGAATCACGTAAAAAACTCGTGTGTAATTTTTCTTCAAGCTACAGGTGGATTATAGAACCATGGATTATAGAATCACGTAAAAAACTCTTTCTTTTGTATTAGTACCTACACTTCTTATTGTGTGCTTTGTTTATGTGCTCCATAATCCCCAGCATGTAAAAGGAGCTAATAATAGGCTGAAAATAATACCTTGCTGGAGAAAACTAGAGCAAAAGGCAGTTGCAATAAAATAGAAATAGTTAATTTCATTAAACTGTCAGTACCTTCTAATAGCATCTAAGAATTTCTCCAAAAATAGTACACAGCTTGCAGACACTGAAGCTCCAATTATAACTTAACAAAAACAAAACTTCTACTTACATGATGCTTTATGGCATTATATAAAAAATATTGATGCGTTCATTGCATGACATAGAAAATATCGCTGCATTTGGATTTGGCTGAAAACAACATCCATTATGCATGACAAAATGTAGTCACCAGAAGTTCAATCAAATGAGAATTTGATTAACCAACAACAATATCAAGCTTTCCTAAATATGACAAATGCTTTATAAGCAATATTGTAGTTAGTAAGCAAGATGCATTAGGCTATAATAATAGAAATTATTTGAGATAAATATGATGCAGATATTAACTGAAGAGAAGACTCCAATCATGTGGATCAAAATATGTACATTTTATGGTACTAGTCTCAAATGATAGCAAGCACATGATGGGACTCTGATTAATAATCTAGCAATTTAGTCGTTTTCTGTGTGTTAAATATGTTGTCTTAGCTATTCAATCTGAAAGTATGTAAGCATTAAATTTCAGACCTGAAATCAAAACCCCACTTGATCCGGCATGAGATTTGAAGGATTGGACACAAAAGCCACAGATATTTGATGTAACCACAAATTTATTTGTTAAGAAAAGAACAACTTTCTGACTAACAACCCTTCTTAATATGAGAATCACTAAAAATAGAATTGTATCTATCAAAGGTTTCCGTTTCTAACTCTATGTAAATAGAGTGCTGTATGATGAGTTTTATTTTTTCTTATGAAATGACTTGTTCTATGTCATTAGCACTAGCTAATAGTGATCAGTGTTCCAAGCTATGGTTGACATGGGCTCATAAAGAAACCTACACGATCAATAGATAGTTAGAACTTCATGGTTTTCAGACAACCTCCAACCAAAGATATCTGAGTTGTTCTATGTCATTAGAACTAGCTAATGGTGATCAGTTTTATTTTTAAACAATTTGATCCAAAACAAATTTCTTGTATATTAGGAAAGAATTAGGTTGTGTCAGGTAATATTTACAGCATTTTAAGAAAGAATAAGGAAATAGACCACTCTTTACTATCTCATATTTCCCTTGCCATCCTGATTATGGATTTTTGGCATACTCTGTTAATCCTTCTTATATTATGAAGCTTTCCCTGATGATTGTTTTAGCTATATTATGAAGCTTTCCCTGATGATAGTGCATGATTCCTAATTGAGCTTTGGAGTAAATCATAGATAGACCCTCAATACTATTGCCCATTTGCGGATAGACTCCCTGTACTTCTGTTATTGCGGCTAGACCACCTGCACTATCGCCTAAGGGCATATATGACCCCCATAGTCAATTTATTTTACTCTCTTACCCTCCGAACATTTATTTCTCAGAACTACCCCAAGAAAAACGACATCTCTTTCTCTAAATCTCTTTCTCCATCTAAAGAGTCAAAAATTTCACTCGAGGGTTTATCTGTAGACCTACAGGGGGGCCTATCTGCAATTAGGCGATAGTACAAGGTATTCATCCACAATTAACCCAACTTTACAAATATAAAGGACATCATTTGTTGGACATGAGAACTTTAGAGGTAATACAAGACTTTCTGCATTCAGCAAATCAGGCTTTGGCTTCTCTGGTTGGTTATGGGATATATTCGTACAAAAATGTTAGGATTGTAAGGGCGTAGAAGGAGGAGACTTGCAAGGTCCACAAAATCAAAATGTCACTACTGATCAAATTACCACAATAAGCATAGTGGATAAAAAGATCTGTTCTGGAAAGTATTACAACAGCAAAGGAATAATCTGTTTCTAGAGTTTTATATGATTATAATTTACCTATAAATTGAAGGAAAAATTATATAGCTTAGTTACAAGACCAATTGATCGCTCTACAATGTTGAATAATTAAGAAATAACATGTCATTAGGAAATTGACATTAGAAAATTGACAACTTAAAGATATCTGAGTTGTTCTATGTCATTAGGAAATTGACCAGCACAGATGTAGACAAAATACAATCCGTTCTATGTCATTAGGAAATTGACAATTTATCTAAGTTGTTCTATGTCATTAGGAAATTGACTAGCACAGATGTAGAAAAAATACATAAACCCTAATTTTATATAAACCTTAATCATAAAAGCTTGTGTATCATGTTCTAATTAGAAAAAGGAATCGTTTTTTTGATCTAATTACAAGAAAATTAAAGGCCTGATCATCACTGAAGCTATACCTGATCTCGTGGACGGCGCCGGAGGAGTTGATGAAGCCAGAGAAGAGTATACGTCGGAGCCGAGATTAATTTTCTAGGGCAGAGCTGACGCACTGGAAAGATGATCGGAGAGAAGAGGGGGAGGGAGGTGGAACCGCCGTTTCAATTTTATTCCTGATTGTTTCTTTTCAATGGGTAGGACAATTTTTGAGAGGTGAATTTATGGCTATATATATAGGTAGTATAATTAGTGGGATAATTATGACAAATTATCCCAATTCTATTTCTAGTAGAATTCTATTTGACTAACGCATCAAAAAAATAATGCAGTTCTAGTTCTTAAAAAGTTCTACTTGACTAACACTATAAAAAAATATCCCATTTTCTAATTCTATGTGACTAACACCTTACGTATGTCTCTCCTCTGTCTCCGTGCCGCAATAGAATCCTGAACCTGAGCCGTCGGTCCCTGATCCTGCTAATGAGTACCCGTATCCTCCGCATCACCGTCGTGCTCGCCTGGCGTCACCTCAGTTGGCACTCTAATGGATACTGCACTATCTGGACTCTGTGGAGCTGCATCAATCTAATTCTATGTGACTAACACCTTAAAAAATTATCCCACAAATTATCCCAGTTCCAGTTTTAAGTTCTATGTAAAGAAGATTATATAAAGATGATAAAGATGCCTGAAGATATATTTGTTATCAATAACATTTTTCATATATAAAAATTTTAGAAATAGAAAAAGAGAAAAAAAATAGATTTGTCAATTTTTTTTGTTAAAAAAAAACTATCTCGCTAAAAATATTTTTGGTAAGAGAAATAATTATTCTTAAACCACTGCCTAATAAATCTCACGAATGAAATATATAAAAAGGAAAAAGCAGATCTACTGATTTTCTGTTAAAAATAACTATCCCACCAAAATATTCTTTTGTGAAATAAATAATTATTCATTTGTTAATCTGCTGCCTAATAAATTTCATGGAGGAAAAAAGAAGAAGAAAATAACATATTAAGATGGATGGCTTAGATTGGGTTCATATCGCAGAAAAAAAAAAAAAAAGATGCGAGAAGAGCTAACGTGACAAGCTCTGGAAAGCTTAAACTTAAAAACACGTTCTTCTAGCATATCATTTTGAAGTAGTCCAGAGGCGGGATGCATATATGTATTAATTAGCGGGGGTACTTGCACACCAAGCAATTTAAAAAGTATATTTGTAAACCTTCTAGAACTACAATCTGCCACCTGTAGTTTAAAAAAAATTCATCTAATCCTTACTTTTATAACGACTAGCCAAATCAGTAGTCCGTTTGCATTGAGCTTGTTTGACATTAGTAGCCTAATTGAAATTTCAAACAATTAGCTCAAATAGATATATTTGTTATCCGTCTCTCTAAGAAAGTTGGGAAAAATGTGTCCAGGCCCCAAAAGCAAAAACTTCATATGACTAGGTCATTTTGTATTCTGTCCCATGTGGATAAGTCCCAAAAAATAACGTTTAATGTGGCAAGGCCCTTCCACATTATAATTATACTAAAAACATATTGTATTTTGCCAAAAACCCGAACTTGCCCTTCCCATTTTTCCCCAGACGACGACTCGTCCTCAAAAGCTACAATATTCACTTCTCATTAATGCGATATGATGGAAGAAATGGAGGAAAAGTTTCCCACATTTTTTACACTATCATGAGTAGTAACTATTTAGTTCTCCATTACTCATCCTCAGACGAAAATTCTCTCCATTACTCTCTCTATTACTCCGACTTATCCTAAAATTCGATCCATTACTCTTACCCTCCTTTCATAATGGCTGAGAAGAACATCATCAGCATTGTCTCTTTGGGGGATAAAGCAGTATTCATGAAGATTAACTCTTCAATCACCATTCTGGACCTTAAATTTAATGTGTCAGAGAGGTTAGATCTTCCATATGATTCATTAAGTTTGTCATACAAAGATGAAACGAATGGAAGCTTCAAATTTCCTATTGAGAACGAGGGGGATTTGTTGTCTATGGTGGAACATTGCCACAATCTTGGACTGAAGGAGGTTCACATGCAAGCTAATAAAGAAGCAGATGATGCTTCTTCAAATATCCAAAAAAACGAGCAAGTTCGACAAGGCACATAGGTTATTGGGTTTTTTGATGCTAAGATCAATACTTATGTCGTGGTAACCTCACCATCCCTTGGCTTGTTCCCATACATGATAGTTATGATAACCTTACGACT